CTGTTTGACATTAATGTGCGATCCATATTCGAAAAATTAACGCAGGAAAAGTCCACAATTAATGCAACGACTTACTTTGCTTTTAACGTCGTAATGACCACACAGCATTATTCACATCCATTTTTTTACAGACGCTCACATTCTCCAACCCGATCGAGTCACTTATTTGCATTACTGATGAATTAATCCTGTGTTGTTCATTCTAAATACCAATAAATAAAAGGTGAGGCAGAGAGAGAGAAAGTGAGAGGACAGCTTTGGAAAATGCCATGGAATGTATACGGAGGCATTAAAAGCAAAGGTTAGAGACTATTTCACATAAGCCAGTAAATCCTGCCAGGGCTCAGAAATTAAATATGTCATCATTATGATCCATGGTACACCACATTTTCTGAAAACCAGCTCAGTCCGGGGGGAAAACCAGGGTTAGACCTACAATGATAAGACATTATTAGATCTGTTCAGAGGGGGGGAGGGAGTTAATGTCATAGAGTGTTGCACACAATAGATCGAACGTGCATGTTATTTCTCAGTGGGAAGCAAAAGCATTGTACATGTGATAAAATTAAATGCACAGAATATTTAAAATGCATTTTTCATATTATAATTTGTAGCTCAAAGTACTGAAGAAGAGGAAGGCGTTTTCAAAGAACATGTCTATTGCATAAAAGCAAGATTTGAATGGAATTTATTTTTTCACAAAAATAGTAAAACAAATATTTAAAAAAGTTGCTTCTGTGTGTGTGTCCAGGCATGTCAGTGTGAGCGTGAAACTGTGAATATTCTTTTGTTTAATGTTGTTAATGTGACTGTTGATTCTGTATATTTATTCCTTTTGTCTTTGAGAAGCAATAACACGTTTTATAAACTTACTTGCTTCATTAATCATACAGTGGGATATTTGCCATAAAAAGAAAGGGAACAAGAGACATTTCTCAAACCATAAAAATTAAGCACTTTTCCCTGAATAAATTACCTTGTGTTGTTTTTGTGAGGGCAAAAGCAGAGACATCATTGAATAATAAGACGGAGGTTACAGGGACTCTAATTACCTGAATGAAAAGAATAAGTATTTGGACCTCATGAAAGCCCTCAGCCCTTGTATCTTGATTAGAAATTACATTGCAATAATGTAGGGCACTCTCTAATCAGATTATTACCCTTGTGACGCCGCATGTGCACATCCAGAAATAATAAAATGTGATGCGAACTGATTATATATTTGTGCCATTTCACTGTAAATTGACAAACACCTCACCTCACCCCCCACCCCACCCCCCACTTCTCTCCTTGTTTTCATTGTTGACAAGCATTTCAATCAACAGAAAAGGCATATCATCTCTGACAGTCTTTATAATGCTTTTTTTTCCTGGTGCTTTATTGAAAGAGGAATTTGAAATGCATGTATTTTCCACCTGAGAGGGTCCGATGCAGAGGTGACAATGAACCGTGCGGATCAAAATCACTTCCATCAATGCTGGCAGATGAAATGCAAACACAATCAAATCAGCCTGCTCTGTAACAATGCTCCAGCTCAAACGCCAATCTTCCTTCCACTCATCACGGAAAATCATAGACTGAAAGAATCTCCTAATCTATTCAAACACACGCTGTCACTATTGATCTGTTGCAAGGGGATATGTTTTTATTAGGGGCTTGCCAGACGTCTCTCCCCCCCCCCCCAGCGTGTGCAGCACATGACCTGAGAATGCTATAGGGTGGTAGGGGGATTGGGAGGCAGTCAGGGCCATAACAATTGAGATAAGTTACTGAGGATAGGTAATGGGAACCGATAGACTCTGAAGCATGGATCGATGAGGGACATTGATACCGAGAGAGGAAGGACAAATCGTGACATACCGACCCTTTTTCATGTTCAAAGTGGCTCCTCAAGAGAGCGTCTTTCATACTGTATCCTCTGGGAGATGCACACAAATTCATAAATGGTCTGTATGAAAGAGCGGGCCAACCAATAGGCAAGGGGAAGATCCTTATACTCCAAAAGCCCATCACTCTGAAATAAGCATACTATTTTTTTGTATTTTACAACATAAGATACAAATACAAGCATCATGGCCCACCCGTTCCTTCATATCTTAAATTGACTATTTATCTTATTTAATATGTGTCCACCAGGAAGCACAGCTGTTTAGAGGCGAGACTCTACTCACTAACCACTATACAACAAATCTTGGTATTTCATATTTCGAGAGGACCAGAATCCGGGCTTTAGGTGCCGTGTGACCGCGGCAACTGGGCTTGAGCAAGGCTGTATAAAGCCCAGATGAGGGAGGTCAATGTGGTGGGGAGGGGATAAGGTGGTGGGGATGTGATATTGGGTGTCACATAACCTGCTACGCCCGCTGTGACGTGAATTTTCGCACATGTCTCTACCTACCAGTCTCATACTTTTGCATTCTACGCCCCTCTCCCTTGCGAGTGTAACACACTCGCAAGGGAGAGTAGTGTGAGCCCCCGGACACTTGCTAGTGTGACGATGGTCGAGGGGCGCATAGGATGATTCGTCTCTCCAGGGCCGAAGGAATGGGTTTCCTAAGGAGGATAACTCCCTTCTGTTTTGAACCTCACTGTCACAGTGTGGTGCTATTCCAATAAAACTTCAGACAGTTGCTCAAGAGGCAGATTTCTTTTGCCGCCAAACCACCAGCTGGACAGAGCGTTGTACTACACCAGATTTGGGTTTAGGATTAGGGTTACAGTAGAACTACTGTAGGTAATGTGACAACTATCCGGGCCACATGGACTAGTTTGTTTGTGAAAATCTATGTGACCGTGCCCTTAGAGTCAATCTAGTTACGGTTAGGGCTACGGTTAGAAACAGTTGATTTGGTTTGGGGATACGGCAATAGTAAGCTTACAGCAAGACAAAATACCAAGATTTTAGGGAATCCTTTTTGGAGGCAGGGGACTGGAATATAATTAAACAATGCAGCTTGTGGATTCCAAGAGGAGCAGAGAAATGCAAAAATTCAGTTAAATGGTACAATTTTTAAAAGAAACAAAAACGCTACTTTAGTGTAGTCACCTAAAATGAACCACACCGGTCTCCACACTCACACACAAACCCATCATAAAAGTTTGCCTTGGGCTCCAAAAAAGTCAGTCACTGGCTGTATGACATCTATACTAATTATGCTGATGGCTGAAATCACACTCGCTTGCACTGTGAAATTATGAAAGAAATGAAAGAAATTAGTGCTATTGGGCGTTTTCCAGATTTTCTTAATGGGTCGAAATTACAAAAGGAAGCAACAAATGATGTGACGGTCTGGGATCGTGTCTCAGCACAAGACACAGTTGTATTGTTGTTGTTAAAGCATGCGACACAGCATTGCTTATCTATATATTTTAGGTATTTTTCTTACGTCAATTCATTTTTAGTCCAACTTTTTAAAAGTATTCAGAGCCAGAGTATTTGCAGCCTTTAGATCATTTTATCCATTCAAAGTACAGCAGTTCTCTGTAGCAACTGCCAGGTCGCCACTATATAAGTTTGCTTCGACCTTTAGATAAGCATAATGTGACGTGGAAAATACTGGTCTAATGCGAGTTGCTTTAATATAGCTCAGAATCCGTATTTTTTGTATTGGCATTGTGAGTAACAAGAAGTCAAAAACTAGGAAATTGGCTCTAAAAAGTAATGATAGAATAAACAAATCAGAATGTATTAAAATTACTCCTGTATACCTGTAAAACAAGTCCCATAACAATGTTTTTTTTTTTTTGCACCGTCGACCCTAGGATTTTTCACAATGTCACAAAGAAAAAAATTCTGATTTCAATGTTTTGGAAAACTGTGACCAAATCTTATAAAGAATAACAGGAAGTACATTTTAGCTCTGCTATATGTTACATTGTCTCTGCCTTTTGAAGCATCACTCACCTCAGAATTTAACCATCTGTACAGAAAGACAGCGCTGGACGACACACACATCTTCATTGACTGATCGAACACACACTAAAACTTTACATCTTTATGCACTTTAGTGTTCCATAGTCAGTAATGTTGTGCAATTAGTCTGGCTGCATTTCCATTGATTCATTGGCTTTGATAATCGACAACTGTTTTAAAAATGTTAAAATGTGAAAAGAGCGAGACTTGTTGACATCCTAATATAAAGTCTGAAAGCTGAAGTAGCTGAGGTCCCTCACTGTGTCACGGGTCACCTTTTGAGGTCTTAAAACGTTCAGCTGCTACTTTGCGGATTTCACTTTTTGGAGGTTAATTTTAGAACGTAACCCCGCGATAAACGAGGGACCTCTGTAAGTAAGTTAGTAAGTTAGTAAGTAAGTTTTTATTTATATACCGCCTTTTCACTGCAGATCTGAGTCTCAAAGCGGTTTACAATTGTTAATTATGGGCATTTGTCTCTCACTCCACACAGAGATGGGAGCGGGGTCGCTGAACAGGAGGCGCATGCCAGACCTATTGTACATGTTTTTAGTGGTAGGGGAAACCGGAGTACCCGGAGGAAACCTACGCAGACACGGGGAGAACATGCAAACTCCACTCAGAAAGGCCCTGGTCCGACCGGGATTCGAACCCAGGACCTTCTTGCTGAGAGGCGAGAGTGCTATCCACTCAGCCACCGTGCCGCCCCCGCTCTGTATACCTAACTGTTTTTGCTTCAGAAATACATTTTGTCAAGCCCTGTTAAAGCAAACAATAAAATAAACATTTCTTTAATGAAAAGGGATTTTGGCCACGTAGGGCCTTCTTCAGGGCAGATACCATCTATATCTTATCAGAAACACTTTTCACAGACACAGATCTTTTCCATACTGAGGGCTGCTTGGCTGAGTGAGGGCTGGTCCTCTCTTTTGAGCTGAAAAAAGTCAGCTCTAAAGATGTGTCAGAGGCCAATACTACATGCATGTGAAAACCGTTTTGAGAACTATGGGAACTAGTGACATGGGTTCTAAGACAGTGGTTTTTAAAGATACGTTTTCCAGCTTTATAATAACCCTAATTCAGTGAGCTAGAGTGGAAGTTGCTTCATTTTCTTGCAGTGACACTCAGTGGAGCCGTGGACATTCTGCTTCATCCCTCCTCTGCACACCTGTCTGCTCCGGGTCAGAGGTGGTGTCCGCGGCAGCCCCTTATCCACATGTCATGTTTTCACCCTCTTGAATACTGAGAGGTCGGAAACATGTCCAGGATCACTTATTAATTCAAAGCCCTTCACTTATTTTATTTTAGATGTGCCTGTGTGGGGCAGGCTGAATAATATTGCTCTGCTCTACTGGGTCACCACACTTTCAGAAATGATCAAATATTACCAGGAAACCAATTTTATAAAACAAGCGCAGATCGACTATTATTATTCTTGCACAAACCTCAGCATATAATCAAAAGCAATTATATACTGTAGCTGCTAACTTACAACGATCATACAGATTTTTACTAAAACTACAAAATGAAAAAGCACAAGCAAATATAAAGGGAATCTCACAATAACTCAAACAATCAAGATAATTATTCTCACAAAGTGGATTGGACCTTTTGAGACCTTTCTCAAAATGACTTCTTTTTCTGACAATTTCAAAATGTTTCCTTTGCAATATAAACATAATATAAATATTTTCCAATGTAAACCAATATGAAAGCTGTTGACATGACAACTGAACTGCAGACACTGAAGTATGCACTTAACTGTGCCAGGAATATACAATCAAAGCTTACCGTTTCTAAACATGACCGTTTGTCAACCATTATTGTAGTCCTAGAATCAAAAGACTGCTGTTAATTTTGTAAATGCATGTCATCTGTTGAAGTCGTTCTGAACAGTGTTGGGCTGAGGTCATTGGGAGTTGGAAAATTTCTCTTTGGGAAAGTTCTTTTTACAGAAAAGTACTATTTTGAGAAGGTGATATTTCACTGTGGCAGTGGGTATAAATTGTCAATCAATTTCTGTCAAGTCGGATAAGTCTCCAAACAGCCATTTCTCCAGCTGGAGGTGCGATGTTGATATCAGTGTGGTGACAGAAGTCTTGGTTGCTTGGTAACAGGTTTGAGTCCAGTGTGGGGTGAGAGCACGGACATGTCTCGCACAACAAGTCCGATTTAGCACAAGTGGCTCACGTGTTTGCATCCGGGCGGGATTAGGAGCAGCATCAGTGCAGTCCTGAGGGCAGAGCTGACATTAAACAGACAAGTGTTTGAGGGATCGATGGAGAAGAGCTCAGACTCTGGTCCGAGACTGGTTCCTCTGAACAGAGTACACACGACACATCTGTCATCTGCTTGTGGACCAGTCAGACTGGGACCAGGCCTCATAACTTCACAGGACCCCAAGAAGGTGGGATAAAAATACACACGCACATATCAACCATGTGTGGTTCACAAGTGTTGAACCAGAGGCCAACATCTCCATTTGGAAATTGGTTCTGGAAATGTAGGTCTTATTAATAAAAACTACAGACTAGGGCAGTTGGACTTTTTTGTTTATTCGATGGCATCATGTCGCCTCTGTTGGTCAACATTATTTCATTTAATCATAAGGATTTCTGTGTCTAAACAGCAAAAACGAAAACATAAGGAGCAAATTTGCTGAAGATTTGGTATAAAGACAAATACCAAGCTCCTGAATCCAGGACACTGTCTACATTCTTTAATTTTATTTTTGATCTGTTATTGAAGTCAGTAGTCCTCCACTTTGTGACTGTTTCACATTACATTTCTGACAGAAACAGTTAGTGACGACCAATTGATCAACTACCATGTCTTCCTTTGAGCAATGCATTTCTTTGGTCTTCTTGCACACACACTCAGCCTCCACCCTTCCCAAAATCTTGTCAGTAACATACTTTTTTGGTGGCAGATTTCATTACCATTTTTATTCTTGTTTCTCCCAGTTCCATAACGTAACAGTACCCAGCCCATCATGTGTGTGGCTGCAATTTCCTCATTTCAAACCAGACGTCACGCAGCACAGGGGTGGTTAGAATGTTCGGATCAGCACCAAATTCACCGCAGATCAATGTTTTGTGCATTTATGACTGAAATGACGGAGGCGTGGGATTGCAGACAAGAGAGGAAAACAAACAGGTCTCCAAGGTGATGCCGATGATTTCTGCGACTGAAACCAATGTGCTTATTACAAGACTGGCAGCATAAACAGGCTGGAGGATGAGCCAAGAGCCTGATGGAGCACGGTAATCACTGGCAAATTATAAAGCCCCAGTTTCAGCGCAGAAAACACTTTACATAATGCATCGATGGAAGTCGTTCATGTCACACATCTGAAGAAAACCCAATCTTAAATAGGTGACAAAAGGATGGGTCAAAAATGGCCGCACAGGAATTAGATATGAGGTGATTTAGACTGATATTATTGCATTATTATAGATATAGTACTGGGCATGGTCAAGAAATCCCCATTAGCTAGTATTCCTTGGGTTAAATTGTAGATAAAGATTCATTTTGAGGTTACTTACAATAAATAAAACAATCTTTATATTGTATTGCATCAACTAGGATTTATGTGATGTGTTGATATGAAATGTTGTTATTTATAGTGTCACTTACAATAACGTTAAAAGCATGCTTGGTCATTGTAAAAGTGTTCCAGGCTTGCATTGTTCTGTAGATAGTGAAATGTTGTTTTGGCAACCACAGTCACACACCCGTTTCTCACCAATTATCACCAAGAATCGATGGAACGGTGTGAGGAATGTTGACAAAACCCAAACGCGAACAGTTTTGTTTTTGGCGCTATTTTTTTGCTTTAACACATTTTGAGCTCTTCTTTTGCACATATATTGTGTTGTGTTAAATATGACGCACAGATGATCATCTGAGACACCCTCAGTGTAGGAAGGAGCGCTACCGCAGGGCCTTTATCCCCACCGCTGTCAGACTGTACAATAAGTCACTGTATAAGACTGAAAAACCTGCACTAATATTGACACTATTTCTGATTACCACTTTTAAACTGCCACTTTTTTATTGTACATAATACAGTATATCCTGCATTTAACATGTTTGCACATTTCCTCCCTTTTTTGCACAATCTGAGTGTTTCTATTCATGCCAAATGTGACTTGTAAATTTCTCCTCCTGTGTGTGATAAATAAAGAATATCTTATCTAATCTTATCTTGCACCAATCCAGCTTTCGCAATACTATAGCTTTCAGTATTTGCCGATATGAACTGATATCACTGAACAAGACAGACCCAAACAAAAATCCAACATTAGGCCGTATATGAGGAGTGGAATGACCGTTTGCCGAGTGCGGAAGATGCCTATTTGAACAGAAGCTAGCTGGGGCCAATTTCTATGTATGTGCATTGGTTTCCGATGAGGTTAGCTTTGCGCCATAACAACAGATGTAAGATAGTTGCTAGGGAAAGCTGGAGTTTCACCTGCAAATTATCCTAATGCCTGATATGTGGATTTACAAAGAAAATATCCAAATATATATCCCAGCCAAATAGTCGCGCTAAACCAAACATGTTTAAGGTCCATAATGGTGAGTGTGACACAAACGGATACTGAGATTTGTTTTTTACTGGAGTTTACTTTTCATTGTCAGTCAATAGGAGCCAGACACAAAACTTCTCTATTGGCTTCAGAGAGATGGGGGTTAGCATTGTCTAGCATTCCATGAGTAGTTTTATGACCTGATAGCAAAAATGACTTGATTAGAGAGTGCATCTGAAGTATTGTATCATTTAAACATTGATTTGAGGGGTAAAGGCGGTGAGTTTTGTTCAATTTCGGACTCCCGATTCTTCTCTCAATTCTCAGACTGTATAATGGAATGGCATGTTCTCTCTGTCGCACCTGTGTTTGGATCCACCGACCGCTCGATGAGGTGGTCGTCCTGGTGCACCCACTCCCCGTTGCACTTGAAGTAGATCTGCGTGGCCGGTGTGGAGCGGCACGTCAGCGTCACCGGCTTGTTCTTCACGATGAACTCGTCCTGCGGCTCCACCAGGAAGTGCGGGAACAGGTCTGTGAAGGAGGAGGGCAGTGTGGATGTAGCAGCGTGCTCCGAGCCTGAAAGGGAAAAGAGGGGGGAACATTTCAGAATACAACCCACAATAGTAGCTTGAGAAGTGTGCGGAAATGCAGTTTATGATGCAATACAGAAACCTTACGTTACTGTTTTCTGGTATAAAAGAACCAACAACTTTTAATTCCACTAAGGAGACAAGATGAACCTTCCTAAACTATTTAAAAAAAAGTTATGGACAAGGATGTGTCCCAGTATTTTGTCGTTTCTAGAAGCTGGAAGAACCAAATACATTTAATACAGTATCCTATTGTTGACAAGCCTTTTGTGACAATACAGCATGTGTCAAATGCATGGCCAATTTTTGTGGTCCCTGAAAGGATTTTAGATTTATATGATCCACTTGCAGCATTGACGACAATATGTAATTTATGGCCTGACAGTCTACAATTACAAGTCTTCTTCACCGTTGGTCCTGTTTTGGTTCAATCCAAACAAACAGAACCTGAACTCATTTTGTTTAGGAAAGTGTTCCAGAAAAAAATTGTCAAAACAACACAGTTTTGGGAGCGCAAGATGGTTTTTATTATTTTAGTCAATGTTTTGGTGTTTTCAAACCTAGGTATTTCACCGGTCATATTATGAGGTTTATTTTTTGCATTGATTTCATTAAAGGACTCCGTGGCAAATATATTTGTTGGATGTTTGTTAAAAAGAAAATTAACAAAAGATATTTCGCCACACGGACAAAAAAAAAGCCTTATTCTGACGCCAATTAAGTTGTTATTGCTGCATATTATTAAAATCTAAGGACATTTTTGTACAAGACCTTATGCAAATGAGCAGTGTGTGTGAGCTTATTATTAATATTACAACTACCCCACTCTTAATTTTTAATAGTTGCTATGCCTTTGAGATGTCCACGTTTGTCTTCGCAGAATAAGAATGGACAGTACAAAGAGCTGTGTATGAGATAAAGCTGGAGGTGACAGGACTCGGAATAGTGTGCTCTGGGCTAGGTCAGGAGGGCAGCCAAGAATACGTCTTCTGCAGTTCTTTTAATCACAGCTCTTTACCATCATCGTCCAACAGCTATAAATTCTGCATGGACACACGCTATGCGCTTTTTCTTACCGCACTTGAGCCGCATTACCGGAGATGGGACGGACGAGCGGAGGGTACACTGAACTGACAAGAGTTGGCCTTTATTCACTGAAGTACAGGAGGAATGTGGAGTAAGCAACGGCCGTATTCTTCAGAGGGACAATGGTACTATTTACACTCGATTCCTATTGAGACAAATTTAAAAAGGATATAGGCTTTTGAAGCGAGGGCAGGTGGTGAGCAAAAATGTGACAATCATTTAGGCTTCTGTAGTTCTTCCAATCATAAATTATTTTAGACCTGTCAGGTTAGAGGTAGATGATCATTCAGTGGTGCAATATTTGGCCAAAATAATCATTTTCATTAATTTTATTATTTTACATTACATTTTCTATGTATTTGTTTTGTAAAATAAGTATAATTCTGCCATAAGATTAACATAACATTCTGCCGTACCATGTTATCCACCAATTTTTCCACCAAAATATGACAGCCTCTACGTATCAGTTGTTGACCTCCTTGATTACTAATTATTGGTATTCTTAACTTTATTGGTTGATCTGTAATCAGTTTCTTTATCAGATTTTCAACAACAAAAATGGTATAGCTAAATATTTAGTTTTTGAGTGGTTCCGAGACCTTTTTATATATTTTACATATTACTGGTAACCATAAGAAGCTATTCACATAGTACTGATTGAAAAAAGGCAAAGAGAGTCATGATTGTTTTTTTTTGCCATTGTAAGTAATAGCAAGTCACAAACAAAGTAAACAAAAGTAATTAAATAGTCAAAAATAGATATAAAATACAGACGTGTCCAGAGGTATGAGATTACGGAGGTATAATAACCACATATATGGTTAAAGAAACACTTCTACATGTATTTTGCAATATCTAAACCAGAATCGCCCTAAACAAATACTACAACTTCTTAAAGAATTGCACGATATTGAAAAAAGCGAAAAACTACAGCCAGAATTGAAGTAGATTTGCCAATCCTTTTTTTCACCGACACTAAGGGGAGGAGGATAAAACCCAAAATAAAGCCCTTGAAAGAAGTGTAACATTAATACAGTGCCCTAAATCCAATAGAGCTGCAGGAGGGGGCATTAGCAGTCTTTTCCATCACTCCACTTGCCTCCTGATGAAACAATTGCTCTGACCTCTCTCTCCTCTATACTCCACGCTCGCTCGCCCTCGTGCCCTGGTCACGGATAAAATTACCTTGCGTCATAAACACCAATAGTGGATAAAGACATTATCTCCCGCGGCGCCTCCCCCACTACACACAATACAAAACACATCTCTTTCTCCTCCTCTTCCGCACACTAATTTATCAGAATGAGATAAGAGTCTGGGCACGCCGCTGCCGCTGCCGCTCACCCCCATTAATGTTTCGTGTACATGTTTAACTCTTAATGAAAACTAAATGTTCTGTGTCCAATGAAAGGCATACATCACCCGCTGACACTTTAGCTTTTTCCGCCCATTTTCCAAACACATTTTCTCATATGCAGAAATGAAACTGTCATTAATGTGGCAGCTTGCTATTCACAACAGAGCAGACGTGATTTAGTGCTCTCAACAACAGTGTTTTCCCCGCACAAACGCAACAGACATGAGATATGATTGCACTTCCATACACTGTGCAAACAAAAGTGAAGTGTTACCTAAATGCGCATTGCAATATATCATAGGACTTTGCCTCTGTCTTTATAGTAGAAACGTAAACATTTTTCACACTGTATTGCTGGTTATGTTGTATCGTGTTTATATTTTATGACATTTATGTAGGCCCACACAAGTTTTAAATAAATGTAAATAAAAAAATACATACTTAGAAAGTCACTAATAGCAAGGGAAACATTAAGTTTAGATACAAAGTCAAAAAAAAAAAAAAAAATCAGTATTGTTGCATGCTATAAAAAGCTTGCATGGATAGAGTGGCTCACCTGGCAATGAATAAAGGCAAATAAAGTGGACATTATCAAAGGTCAACATTTAAGTCAGACTATTCTTTGTTGAGTGTAGTCTGGCTGTTCCACTGCGCTCTGCGGGTGTTGAAACGGTGACATCTTGAATAGAAGGTATAATTGCATTGAATAAAGAGTGCTAACTAACAGGGCGGCCGCTGCAGGTCTTCGGTCTAATGATGGAGCTTCTATAACAGGAGTTTGTGCTGCGGTCATTACGCCGCCGCACTGACCCTTTGCTCTGTGTACACGCTCTGTCTCTCAGAGACACAGTGGGCGGGGTTCACCTGCAGGTTAATCATGAGGACAGACTCTGGGACACAGGAGACGCCATAGGAGGCGGCCTAATGTAGTGCCAAGGAATAGAAAACTGAAGAAAAACAGTTTCAAGGCGACATATGCAACAATGAGAAGTGCCTTTTCAACATTTAAGATACTTTTTTCAGGAGCATATGTGTATGTGTGTACGAGGTTTAATGAATGGAGGCGAGCGCGTTGGCCAAGTTTTTTTAAGAGAAAAAATATAATTATAATAATTTATTTTTATTGCAGACTGAGATTGTATGTGTGCATGAGTGTATGAGAGCATGTATACAGTATGTTTGTATATTATGTATGAATGCATGTACTGTATGTTTGTATATATATGCATATACTGTGTTTATATGTATACGTTTACAGTATGTGCAAGTACTATATATGTGAACAGTACTGTATATACGTTTGTGTAAGTTGGTGTAATGTACGAAATGTACGAATTATGGATTGTTTTTGCGCTTTTCTCAATCTGTGAAACATCATCATAATCCACACATATGACAATTGCATTTTTCACACATTATCCCCGTGGTCTATCACTCACACAACTCACCCCCAGAGCCTCCTGACGATCTCTCCAATCTGTTTGTGTACTCACCGTCACACGAGCTGAGGTTAGCCTCCCGTTTTAGTACCATCTCTGTAGGTTAATGAGGTTAAACGCGTAATTTCTTTAGCGGGGCAAATTGTGAGTTTTACGGGAGGGCATTCTAGTCACGCGCAGCTTTATATCACATCCATAATGAAGGGCTGATGTGTTGTAAATTGGCTTAGATTATTGTCACAATGGTGTACTTCAAAGTCAATGTGAACACGCACGCCGCATCGGCCCCTAACAAGCTGTGCGTGGGTCACTGCACAAATCAAATAGACAGAACACAGCACTACGGCTTTGCGCGCGTGCTGCTGGACGCGATTGGCTGCAATTAATTGTCAAATGCATTGGAGCCCATTGCCAGATCATTGTGTACACACGAGCAGAGAGTGAATGTGTCCCTTGATGATCGTAGGCCAGCGAGGATGCTAATTGAAAGTGCATGTGTGGTGTGCTTAATGCGTTTCGTAGCAGAGCGCGGCCATCAAAAGCGCGCTAATGTTCTTATTGTCTCTGCTCTTGTTAAATCATTCTTTTCCTCTCTGACGACTGCCTGAAATGTACAATAATGTACACAATATAGGCCAGGCAAGACAACATACAGTATACTGATGCAGAATTATACTGTTGTTGGATGACTTTGAAGCTACATAAAGCTGGGGTAGCTAACTTTTGATGGGTAATACATTCTATTCATCATTACAGAAATGTTGCGAACAAATCAGACCAAGACCTGTATTAGAAATTATGTCAGAAAGATCCCTCTGAGTCACTATTTGATGTTTTGGGCTGAGAGCTCTTTTCATTTTTCTGTCTGGTGCACAATGGAGACTTTTGCAAATGTATTCCATTGTGGTTTTACTACAAATGGCAAATAGAAGTGAATCTGTCTGAAGAAGCAGATCTAAAGATATTAGGCCAAAAACATATGCGAACACAATGTGAATAGCAATAGAAGCAAATTGTTTTTTAGACCATCTAACTAATTAGGTACCCCAGCTTTAATGTCACTGACAAAATTAAAACAACTGAAAAAGAAAAGGAATAAAAAGAAAAAAACACACAGCTATTTCACAGAGTAACTAGTTTTACTACACAAATAATAATAATAATAATCAATGTTGCTATTATACTTATATATTATTTACGGACATACAACATGTCTGTGCTTTGTATGGCTATCATTGTTCATCAGCTGCATGATTCCATAGATGATGTGAGACATTTTACAGTGTTATATATGATTTAATATAATAATGGGGGAGGTTAGACCCAAAATAACAACATTCCCAAGGAGACATAGTAGAGAGCTCCTCCGGGATAGTCAGGTTTGTAGGCAACAAAATAACTTTTATATTTAGTGCAATCGTCTTAAGTCTCTTGAGTTTCTCCTCTGTGCAAACTCCCAGGACCACTGCACATGCTCAGAAAAGAAGAATACACTAAATATATAATACATTATTTGCTCAAAATGTGTTTTCCAGTAATCCATGAAACCAAATATGTGTCTGCATTTTAAAAAAAGAAAAAATTCTGCCGGGATTTAAGTGCAGCAGCTTTGAAGACATCTTTTATTACCATCCATCTTCAATATTTTATAATGATTTTTGCTTTGATGCCTCTAACTGTATCGCTTCACAGTGCTTCATCACAAAATATGTCGGAAAATAAGGAGAATATATGATAGAGAAAAAACAAGCACAGCTGGAAACAGACTAATTGTTCTGGTTTAGGGGTAAATGCTCTTTCTACCGATTCACATTGTAAACGGAATACTTTTTGTTTTTATTGATGAAACAAAATCATGTTATTGGTTAATATCTCAACATGATGCCAAATGAGCATTGCATCATGATAAAAAAAACAACAACTAAAATGCGATGTATCTTCAGGGAATCTCAAGTGTGTATTTTTTCGCCACATTAATTTGTTCAAATGTTGTTTGAGGGCTAAACAGTGAGTGTTCCGTGGTGTCAGGATTTCAATGGGGAGACAACTTTTGCCAGAGAGAAAACCAAACGCTTTATGTTCCTTCCTCATGAAGCCAACACATCAAGTGCCCTTTGGAGCCAATTAATTTTTTTAAACACCATGTCCCCAAAGCAAAGCATCATTGAGCAATCACTGGGCATAATTTACATCACAGTGAGGAGCAGCAG